AGCAAACAACCTGCATGTTAACCCCTGTGTGTACCAGGTAGAACTTTTGTATAAAATGAATGGTGAATATTAGTATGAATGTTAAAATTCGGGGTCATTTCAATAATATATCCGATTAGAGAGAAGTAATTAGTATTCGCCCAACTATAAAATCTTTGATCATCATATGTTTTATAAACATAGCTATTTTCATGACCGCGTATTCGCTGAATATATTTAGAAATCAAATCACAGACGTGCAATCCAACGGGAGTATTTTTGGATTCTTCATAAACTACCCTGTTGGAATATCGTTTGTTGCTAGATTCATAGTATTTGCCAACGCAATGTCTAAGAACTTTCCGCTCAAAAATTTCTATTTCACAAATGAAACATACAGAAACACCGGTTTTATGCTGGTTTATATAAAGTAATTTAGTCTTACTTGGAAGATCCTATTTGTCAAAATTCTAGAAAAAAATCTAAGAATTCCGTACGCCTTTCCCAAAACTTGCCTAGCGTGTTTGTTAAATTTTAATAAATTATTGAATGTAACACCTAAATATTTCATAGTATTACCTAAAGGAATATCTACACCATTTATTGCTATTTTTAAAGTTTACTTTCGGGAACCACATACTTCTTACATCACCCTGATGCATTTCTTATGCATATGGCCTCGGTTTTAGATGGATTGATTTTAATGCCCCAGCTATCATAACAACGCGAAGCCTTATCAAAGTGATGCTTAACTTTGCACATTGCCATATGTGGTGATTTGTCATGAGCATATAGTAGGGCATCGTCTGCATATAAATATATTTATAAATGTGGAGCCAGTATAGATCCTTGGGGAACACCGAATTTAATAACATCCAAATCTGATATATTTTGACAAAACTGGACAAAAACTTTCTATTCGAAAAGAAACTATAAAATAATTTTTTAACAATTGGATCAAAGTGAAGTTGCACCATTTTATACAAAATTCCTATGTGTGATGCGTGATCAAAAGCTTTTTCTACATCTAATGAAGAGCTACTGTACATTTCCGTTCTCGAAGTTTACATACAATATCATTATGGAATTTAAGAAGGGCATCTGTGGTAGATTGTCCTTTCTTAAAGCCAAACTGTAGTTCGGGAATATACGACGTAGTCATCCAATGATTGATTTTAATTTGAACATCAACAAAATAAATATATTCCTTATCAGCGTAAAATTCCAAGACGATTTAGCCTGGTCCGTCCGCCCGTCTGTTGTAATCACGCTACAGTCGAAACGAGTTAAGATAGGAAGCTAATATTTTGCACAAATCTGTCTTTGGTCTGTAGGCAGGTCAATTTCGAAGATGGGCTGGCAAAGAATTGTCTATATAGCTCCACGATATCGTATATCCCCCATACAACGGTATCCTCCTATATTCGGTATTTTGGTGATTTTAGCCACCTTTTTCTATGGAATTGTCTGAAATTCTACACAAGAGTTCCTTGTGAGTACTTTATCACCTATTTACCATTTATAATACATTACCGAATTCATCCGTTTATGTACCAAAGAAAATAAAACAAGTAAAAAAGCAGAAAGTTCGGCCCGGCCGAACCATTTGGAACGAATTAGAAAATTTTCAAAAAAATAAAATCCATTATTTTTTTTTTTTTTTTTTAATCTTTACAATATCTAATATAGGAAGGTGTCGATATATGGGGGTATATATGATATTGTGGACCTTTTAAGACAAATCTATGTCTGGGTGTAAAGTACTCACAAGGAACTCCTTGTGTGGATTTTCAGATAATTCCATTGGAAAAAGTGTCTAAAATCATCAAACTTGTGACAGCCACCTTTGGGCTGGGTATGAATACCCACACATAATTATGCATTGGCCACATTTGAATATTATTGCACAGTCGATTATATATTTTTGGGTCACAAACAAATTACAATTAATTTTATTTATTTGGTTGAATTTATGGTTTCCATCAGAAGTTGTAAAAAGGTAAAAGCAAAACAAATAATAAAAAACATCTGTTCGTGTCTACCAGTGTTGTAAAGGGATTCAATTTTATGTTGCGTAGTTACACCACGGTGTAAAAAAAACTTCAAACTGTGCCTGATCATAAATTGTACGATCAATCCTCAAACCAAATATGTACAATTTATCGAATGAATCAAGTTTTGATTTTTTTATTAAATAATAAAAATAATAATGAATACAATTTATAATGTAGTAAACTACTTGAATACTATTTTGGTATACACCAAATATATACGTGTTTACTACTGAAACATTCTTACAAGTGATGTAATTTAGCGCCATCTGGAGATTAAACCCAGAACAAAGGATAAAATATCGAGATCCACCATGGTTGATATTCGAATGACAGTATATCACTATATTTCCACCATGTGCATTCTGACCTTCATTGAAAGTGACATTGAAGTTACGATTTAGAAAGTCATAGACTGTCAGAGTGAAGGTGATATACTAAAAACCACCACGAAGTAGATAATAGCCGTTAAATAAATGCAAAAAGTCTGTAAAATAAATGGTGAACCAGTGAAATTATATACTGATTTTAATCAAAATCAATTAAAAATATCATTCAAGAATAGTCATAGCTGACATTGACGTTAATAAAATATTTTTGATATTAAAAAATTTTACACTCGGGATATTGTGGTAAAACCAGGATATGTTTTTTTTTATCAGGAACAAGCAGTCCTCAGGTTGGATTATATATATATATATATATATACATATGTTGCAAACCAACTTCACCTGTGGATGGCGAAACCACTTTATCCCGGGATTCACAATAAATGAGAAAGCTTCACTTATCTAACTCAAAAACCAGATTGAAAGACTACATTTTTTTTTGATAAAAAAAATTGATACGAGTGAGTACGACAGTCAAAAAATTATAAAATTATGAAAGATCATTCTGCATAAAAAAATATATATATTAAATGCGAAAAAAAAACTAATATTGTATTCAAATTGATATGTTAAAAAAAATATAATCAAATTCGACACACCTCACGTGTTCAAAAAAAATAACTGTACAAACAAGAAAAATTGTTCGTAAAACTATTTAAAATAAATTGTCGAAAATCTAAAGCGGAGTTTTAGGCGCTTATGATTTTCAATAAAAATTATCCCTGTATAAAAGGTTTTCTTCACAAATATGTAGCATGACACAAAATTTTACTTTCATTTTAAATCAATATAAATATAAATCATATAATGTCCTAAAAAAACTCATTAATTTGCCAAAACAATTTTTATGAATAATAATTTTTATGAGTAAAATTAGTAAAAAAAATATAAAACTGAAAGAAATTATATACATAAATTTATACAAATCAAAAAAAAAAAAAAAATAGAACTAGTTTTAATTATTAAAAATAATATAAAAAAAGAATGTAAAATAATATATATTATATAATAAAATTAAAAAAAAATTATAAATATTAAAATTATTAAATAAATTCAATTTAAAATAAATTAAGGTAAAATTAGTATGATTAAAATATTATTATAAATAATGTGTAGCATATTTGCTAAAGATTAATAATATATGAACAAATTAAATAATTAGAAAATGGAAATGTAAACTTTTATTTAAAATGGGTTGAGTAATTTATCAGGGTAGTGATAGTCGTTTTTGGGGTGTTTCTACAGAATTTTTGCCGACAGAAACACCAAGGTATACTGAAAAATGTATATGAGGGTGGGCAAAGCCAAAGAGGTGTAACATCAGAACCTCATTCAAACTGGAATTCTACCTTGTGTTTATTTTAAATTGAAAGGCTAAGGCAGATATATGTATACATCCGTTTCCTCTTAAATTCTTTTTATTGTTTTCCCTTTTTTTCTTAATACAAACTATGATGACAGTACGAACTAATCAAAGGTACACAAATTTAAGTGTGCTGTCAAGTGGATAAAGAACTCCCCTATCCGGCGAGCTAAGCCGCAGCCTACCAACATGTACCTACTCCACTTAACCCAGGCAGTTACATTTATGGCGCCCAACTATAGAGCAATTTTAAATTTTTGATTTTTCCAACATAGCCCAAACTTTGGAACAGATTGTATTCTACACATCGGTATCCCGGAAGGCATTTTCATAGCCATGCCGTGTTGTACAGGTGCTCAGTTACAATCAATTCCACAAGTCTACAATCGATCAAGATGTATAAGCAATCATAAAAATAAAGAAACATAATCAGAGGCTATACAGCTTGGTATTATACGTTCTTTTTTTCTTTTGAAAGCAGAAAGCAGAAATGACTTCGAAAGTTTTTATAACAATTAACTTATTTTTGTCCCAAATTGTATACTTATACTTGCCTACAAAATACTCTAGCCAAAACAAAGAAAACAAATAACATCCAATTAAAATAAATACTTTATTTTATATGTTTATAGATAATGTAAACATAATTTAAAATATTTCAAAAACAATTCAATTTTTCTGTTATTTTAAATTTCTAATTATAATTAGAAATTAGTAAAATTTTGAAAATCCATTAAATTGTTTTATTCTTAGATAAACATATTATAAAAAATCACTACCTGATAAAATATATTCAACCTAAATATTCAAAAAATTAACAGTAAAAGAATAATACAAATTATTATCGTACAATAATTTTTTTTATTAAAAGATTGTCATACAAAGTTCATTATTTAAGAAAAATATATATTAGAGATATTAAATTTATCTAGAAATATTATAAAAAAATACAAATTCTATAATCAATTTATATTAAAAAAAAACGAAAAACAAAAACATTTATATTGTCTTGAATTATTAATATAATTTATTTTTATTAATAATATAATATAGATACTGAATGAATTGAAAGTATATATAATTATAAATACATATATGTGATTTTGTTAAAATTAATTGAATTATAAATAACGATACAAAAAATACAATCAAAAAAAGTATATAAATAAGAAACAATACATGTAAACTATATATAAACACATTTATTATTTAATTTAAATTCATTAAAAAAAAAATTCCCCAAAAATATAATTACTTAAAACATTATATATTTATATTAAGAAAACAAAAATAAATGTGGATATATATAATAAATTAAAATATTAAAATTCAATCAAAATTAGACAAATAAGTAAACAGAAAAATACAGAACTCGAATATTATAAAATACATAAGTTATAAAAAAATACCAGGAATATTTACCTGAAAGAAAAAAAAATACTTTATTAATATTTAAAAATACAAAAAAAAGCAATTTTTATGTTAATATATATACGTAAACATATCAAACAATTATACAAATATTAAATCATAACTTCTAATATAGTCATTTAACTTCAAATATTATAATACTACACTTCAACAATTTTTTTTATCCTTTTATCTGTTTTCTTGCATGAGATACATATAATTTTCTAACTTGAATTCATTATGGCCAACAAAAACCCAAGTCAAACTAGAACTTCTAGCAGATTGGCAAACAAAAATACACCTATTGCGAGCGGCACTAATATTGATGTTGCAAGCACATCTAATGCTGCAATACTAACTAACCCCAATCTCATAAATCCCAATACTTTAACCAATATTACAACTTCTAATACACCTATTAGCAATCGTAACAATATGAATATTTCTAATACTTCAGCACAAGGTGCAGATAGAACTGTGGTTGAAGCAGGTATTCCACCACTTATGTCTATCATTACATCTTTACCTACTGGTGTACATACATCATCACCTGAAACTAGTACATCAATTACAAGACCACCATACAGTAGTTTAACAGGTCAGGAAACAACAAGAAATACTGTCATAAACACGGCAATGCCAAGTTCTAATAATAATATAAAGCAATGAAAAATATGGAAGATCGTTTTGCATTAATGATACCTCAAGTAGTGAGAAACTCAATTGACTCACTAAGAAATATGTCATTAAATATTACTCCTGATCCAATAAGACCGGAGATATTTTCTCAAAATGCGCAACAGCAGAACACACATTTCCAATAACAACCTAATCAACATTACAATCCACAAACAATTAGGGAACCATATTCTCAGAATTTTCCTCTTGGTTATAAATCAATAACACCACTACAACTTCAAAAGTGGGGATTGAAATTTGATGGTTCTTCTAAGTCCATCAGTGTGGAAGAATTCGTATTTAGGGTCGAGTCTTTAAGGTTAGACTATAACTGTCCTTTAGACATTTTCGTGAAAGGATTTCACCATTTACTCACTGGTAGAGCATCAGAATGGCTTTGGTTATTTAGACAACAAAACCCAGTATGCGAATGGGATCATTTAAAATACCACTTCATAAAAAAATTTCGAAATTTCGAAAGTGATTTCGAAATACAACGAAAAATAATAGAGCGTCGACAGCTTCCATCGGAAACCGCTGACATCTACATATCGGAAATTGTTCGTCTCAAAAATCAAATGAGAATACCTATACCCGAATTTGAGATTGTGAGAATCATAAAAGACAATCTCAAAGACGGATTAGTTCAACTAATTTATGCCAAAAACATAGATTCAATCGATGACCTCCTTGAGGAATGCAAAAGAGCTGAAGTTACAATGTCAAAACGTCTATCTTTTCGACAACAACAGCCACATAATTATAGACGAATTCATGAACTAGAACATGACTTAAATGAGACATTCGAAAATGCCCTAGATGTAGAAGCTCTACATAACAACAAAACAACAACAACTAAGATCCTAACTTGTTGGAACTGCAAGCAATCAGGCCATACTTTTATGGATTGCGAATTGGACCAACGTAACATATTCTGTTACAGATGTGGGTTCGATGGGGTCACATCACCAAAATGCCCTAGGTGTTTGGGAAACCAAATGAAGAACATAGGAAAAACTGGGACCTCATGTTCTCAACAGAATGTAAACCAGTAAACAAAACTAAAATATATTAGAAGCAAAACCTATTCTACTAAAAACCACAAATCATCAATTAAGACAGCATACACCAAAATTAAAAATCCTTGTTCCATATGAACAACGATTGGAACAATACAATAAAATTAGGTCTGACATATTTAAAGATTTTGTACCTACGATAAGCAAAAAAGTACTTAAAGCTGGGAAATCTTACACCAAACGAAAAAAAGAAAGACAGGAGATAGCATCTGCCTGCATAGAAGTAGCTAACGACATCAGACCATACATGGATGTCAAGTTAAATGGAATTGATTTCACAGGTCTCATGGATAGTGGTGCATCGGTCAGTTGTTTAGGCAAAAACTGCCTAGAAAATGCCAAAATGATGAATACACCTATCCTTAATTTTAAATCATCGATTAAAACAGCAGACGGTAAACATCAAGAAATAATAGGCAAAATAAATGTTGAATTGAAATGCGGAAATAAGACGAAAGAATTGACATTGTATCTAGTACCAAACTTAAAACAAATTTTGATACTAGGATATGATTTTTGGAAAAAATTAAACATTAAAATATCTGTCGAACCGGATGTTAATGAATTGCACAATGACGTCATGAACATAGAAACTAAAAGACACATGAACTATCATATGAGGAAAATATACAATTAGAAAATGCGAAACTATTCTTTAGATGTTATACAAAACATGGGTTGGAAAAAACTCATCTCGAAAAACATATCATTGACGTCGGAAATGCTATTCCGAAAAAAATGAGATATTTTCCAGTCAGTCCAGCGGTTCAAAAACTAATGTATAATGAATTGGATCGCATGATAGAATTAGATGTTATAGAAGTCGCAACAAATGCAGAGTGGAATAATAGAGTGACGCTAGTTATCAAGCCGAATAAAAACCGATTATGTCTTGACGCAAGGGAATTAAATAAAGTAACTCGAAAAGACGCATATCCATTGCCAAACATTGATGGTTTATTGGCTAGACTAGGAGATACACATTTCATAACCGCCATCGATCTAAAGGATGAATTTTGGCAAATTCCTCTGGAGGAATCAAGTCGACCCTTAACAGCGTTCACTGTCCAAGGTAGACCTCACTACCAATTTAAGGTAATGCCTTTTGGACTGTGCAATGCAGCTCAAAGGAGGTGTCGACTTATGGACAAAGTGATTCCTTCAGAGTTGAAAGACCTAGTGTTTGTGTACCTAGATGATCTCCTGATAGTGTCACAGAATTTTAAGGATCATATGCAAATACTTAAAGTAGTAGGAGAAAGGTTAACTAACGCGGGATTGACAATTAATATGGAAAAATCCAAATTTTGCTACAAAGAATTGAAATACCTAGGGTACATTGTCGGAGCAGGTAAACTCAAACCTGACCCTGGAAAAATTGAAGCAATTGTCAATATAAAACCTCCTAAATCTCAAAAGATGTGAGAAAATTCTTAGGAACGGTAGGATGGTATCGTAGATTCATCCATGAATTTTCCACTCTGACAGCTCCTTTGACAGATACTTTAAGAAAATGTCCAAAATTCATCATGACTCCAGAAGCTCTAGAGTCATTCGAAAAATTGAAAATATGTCTAACTTCCAGTCCGATATTGTGGAGTCCTGATTTTACTAGACCATTCTTCGTACAATGTGACGCTTCAAACGTCGGAGTTGGTGCTGTTCTTTTTCAGAAAGATGATGAAAATGGAGAACATCCAATTGAATATTTTTCCAAGAAACTGAACAGTGCCCAACGAAACTATTCAACGACGGAAAAAGAATGTCTGTCAGTCATACTCGCAATAGAAAGATTTAGACAGTATATTGAGCTCATGGATTTTACTGTAATAACAGACCATTCCAGTTTACAATGGCATATGCGCCAAAAAGATTGAAACGGAAGACTAGCAAGATGGAGTTTACAACTCCAAAGCTACAGCTTTACAATCGAGCATCGTAAAGGCACTAAAAACGTTGTACCTGATATGCTATCACGTATGGACATGGATGAAATCACCGTGGAAAATACTCCATTTATTAATTTCAATTCAAATGAGTTCAAAAATCCAACATATTTAAGTCTTATTGATACCATTGAGCAAAACAGAAACCGTCTACCTGACCTAAAAGTGTGCGATGGAATCGTGTACAAAAGGGTAAAATTTAATAGAATAGATGTTGAAAGTGAAGACGACTGTTGGAAGATATGGCTTCCAGATAATTTAACAACAGAAATAATAGCCAAATCTCATAACAACAACACTTGTCATGCTGGTATATCGAAGACATTGTATGATATCAGGCAATATTTCTATTGGCCAACGATGGCTTATGAAATTAAACAATATATTAACAATTGTGAAATTTGTAAAGAAAATAAACACCCTAAACAGATATTAAGACCACCGATGGGTAATGAAGTTATAACCCAAAGGCCTTTTCAGAAGATTTATATCGACTTCTTAGGTCCATATCCAAGAACAAAATCTGGAAAAGCCTACATTTTTATCGTTTTAGACCATAAAACCAAATTTGTGGTACTAAAGGCAATGACAAAGGCTACGGTTACACAAGTCATAAAATTTTTGGTAGAAGAGATTTTTTATAAATTCGGTGTACCAGAATTTATTCATTCCGACAACGGAAGACAATTTACATCCGATATGTTTAAAGATACATTAAAATTATTTGGAATCAAACATATACGAACTGCAATACACGCACCACAAGCAAATGCAAGTGAGCGAGTAAACCAAACCATTCTTAGCAGTATAAGAAGTTATATAAACTCCGACCAATCTAAATGGGATGAAAAGTTACCCAAAATCGAGTGTGCCTTGCGATCGACGTTACACGCCTCAACAGGTACATCACCATATTTTGCCTTAACAGGCTACAACATGATAACACACGCAGACGCGTATGGAATTCTCAGAAAACTAAACGCCTTAGAAGATGGTAGTCTGGATATTTTACCTGCATCAGACAGAATGCAAATTTTGCATAAGAATATTAATAAAAATCTGCATGAGGCTTATGAACGTAATAAACGCTCATATGATAGAAGAAGCAGAATTGTAACCTACAAACCAGGACAAGAAGTCTATAGGAAAAATTTTGTACAAAGCAATTTTGCCAAAGGAATAAATGCAAAATTTTGTAAACCATGGCTTAAATGCAGAATAAGAAAAGCCATTGGAAATTGCTATTACGAAGTGGAAAACCTAAAGGGCCAACTCATTGGTACCATTCATGCGCAACACCTCAAACAATAGGTTAGTACTACATTGTCATCTATGGTTAGTAAAATAATAGTTACTCTCACCAAATGCCAGTTGATGCAATGTTGTTAAAATAAAAATCCATGACATCCATAGGTCGTCATTGTGTTCGGCAAACAAGATATAACACCATCTGAAAAAGAAAGAATGGTATTTCATTAAATTATATTCAAAAAACCAAAATAAGATAATTTCATTTTTGATACAAGTGGACAATCCTATTCCATTGAAAGTAAACCCATTTTACTACAGCTTAAATACCTGAAAAGGGTAAAAAAATAAATGTTAAAATAACAATAACAATCGTACTGGAAACCAACTTTTACGAAATATTTCATTACATCTTTAGCTGAATACATGCATTTATGATATACACATATTGCAGCAAATGCAAAACTCTGTCTTGAGTAATTTCCACATCAGATTTTTATTGCCCTGTCACACACAGATATCCTTTTTTTTGTTATGACAGACTTTCAGTTTTTGTTTATGTTATTATAAACCTTACAAGACAGGTAGTTCTGGGTATTTCCAATCCCATACAAACATTGGCATGTATTTCAAGAAGGTGAATCATTTCAATAATAATTGTAGCCTGAAATATATAAAATAATATTTATGAATACGTTTTATACAATAATTATTTGTAATTACCTGATGGTTGTATTCATACTGACTCCCAAATCATTTTCCCTACACAGGTTCCGAAAAATGATCTGGCTTTGTGACAGCCACCTTTGGGCTGGGTATGAATACCCACACATAATTATGCATTGGCCACATTTGAATATTATTGCACAGTCGATTATATATTTTTGGGTCACAAACAAATTACAATTAATTTTATTTATTTGGTTGAATTTATGGTTTCCATCAAGAAGTTGTAAAAAGGTAAAAGCAAAACAAAATAATAAAAAACATCTGTTCGTGTCTACCAGTGTTGTAAAGGGATTCAATTTCATGTTACGTAGTTACACCACGGTGTAAAAAAAACTTCAAACTGTGCCTGATCATAAATTGTACGATCAATCCTCAAACCAAATATGTACAATTTATCGAATGAATCAAGTTTTGATTTTTTTATTAAATAATAAAAATAATAATGAATACAATTTATAATGTAGTAAACTACTTGAATACTATTTTGGTATACACCAAATATATACGTGTTTACTACTGAAAACATTCTTACAAGTGATGTAATTTAGCGCCATCTGGAGATTAAACCCAGAACAAAGGATAAAAATATCGAGATCCACCATGGTTGATATTCGAATGACAGTATATCACTATATTTCCACCATGTGCATTCTGACCTTCATTGAAAGTGACATTGAAGTTACGATTTAGAAAGTCATAGACTGTCAGAGTGAAGGTGATATACTAAAAACCACCACGAAGTAGATAATAGCCGTTAAATAAATACAAAAAGTCTGTAAAATAAATGGTGAACCAGTGAAATTATATACTGATTTTAATCAAAATCAATTAAAAATATCATTCAAGAATAGTCATAGCTGACATTGACGTTAATAAAATATTTTTGATATTAAAAAAATTTTACACTCGGGATATTGTGGTAAAACCAGGATATGTTTTTTTTATCAGGAACAAGCAGTCCTCAGGTTGGATTATATATATATATATATATACATATGTTGCAAACCAACTTCACCTGTGGATGGCGAAACCACTTTATCCCGGGATTCACAATAAATGAGAAAGCTTCACTTATCTAACTCAAAAACCAGATTGAAAGACTACATTTTTTTTTGATAAAAAAAATTGATACGAGTGAGTACGACAGTCAAAAAAATTATAAAATTATGAAAGATCATTCTGCATAAAAAATATATATATTAAATGCGAAAAAAAACTAATATTTGTATTCAAATTGATATGTTAAAAAAAATATAATCAAATTCGACACACCTCACGTGTTCAAAAAAAATAACTGTACAAACAAGAAAAATTGTTCGTAAAACTATTTAAAATAAATTGTCGAAAATCTAAAGCGGAGTTTTAGGCGCTTATGATTTTCAATAAAAATTATCCCTGTATAAAAGGTTTTCTTCACAAAATATGTAGCATGACACAAAATTTTACTTTCATTTTAAATCAATATAAATATAAATCATATAATGTCCTAAAAAAACTCATTAATTTGCCAAAACAATTTTTTATGAATAATAATTTTTATGAGTAAAATTAGTAAAAAAAAAATATAAAACTGAAAGAAATTATATACATAAATTTATACAAATCAAAAAAAAAAAAAAAAAAAATAGAACTAGTTTTAATTATTAAAAATAATATAAAAAAGAATGTAAAAATAATATATATTATATAATAAAATTAAAAAAAAATTATAAATATTAAAATTATTAAATAAATTCAATTTAAAATAAATTAAGGTAAAATTAGTATGATTAAAATATTATTATAAATAATGTGTAGCATATTTGCTAAAGATTAATAATATATGAACAAATTAAATAATTAGAAAATGGAAATGTAAACTTTTATTTAAAATGGGTTGAGTAATTTATCAGGGTAGTGATAGTCGTTTTTGGGGTGTTTCTACAGAATTTTTGCCGACAGAAACACCAAGGTATACTGAAAAATGTATATGAGGGGTGGGCAAAGCCAAAGAAGTGCAACATCAGAACCTCATTCAAACTGGAATTCTACCTTGTGTTTATTTTAAATTGAAAGGCTAAGGCAGATATATGTATACATCCGTTTCCTCTTAAATTCTTTTTATTGTTTTCCCTTTTTTTTCTTAATACAAACTATGATGACAGTTACGAACTAATCAAAGGTACACAAATTTAAGTGTGCTGTCAAGTGGATAAAGAACTCCCCTATCCGGCGAGCTAAGCCGCAGCTTACCAACATGTACCTACTCCACTTAACCCAGGCAGTTACAAACTATTGAATATCTACGGTTACCGTTGCATTGGGAATATACGATATTGCGGGCCTATAAATAGACAATTCCCTTTCAGGGAAAGGGTGCTCACACAGAACTCCTTGTGTGGATTTTCAGACAATACGATTTGAAAATGTGGCTAACATCATCAAAATGCCGAATATCGGGGGTACCGTTATATGAGTGCTATACGATATCATTAAACTATATAAAGAATTCTCTGTCGGGTGGTAAAGTGCTCACAAAAAACCCCTTGAGTACAATTTCCGTTGAAAAATGTGGCTAAAATCATCAAAATATAGAATATCGAGGGTACCGTTATAGGGGGGCTATACGATATCGTGGATCTAATAGATAATTCTCTACCGAGGTATAAAGTACCCACAAGGAACTCCTTGTGTGAATTTTCAGACAATTCCGTTGAAAAATGTGGATAAAATCATCAAAATACCGAATATCGAGGGTACCGTTATACGGGGGCTATACGATATCGTGGATCTAATAGATAATTCTCTACCGAGGTATAAAGTACCCACAAGGAACTCCTTGTGTGAATTTTCAGACAATTCTGTTGAAAAATGTGGGTAAAATCATCAAAATACCGAATATCGGGGGGTACCGTTATATGAAGGATATACGATTTCGTAGACCTATATAGATATTTCTCTGCCGAGGTATAAAGTAATCACAAGGAACTCCTTGTGTGAATTTTCAGACAATGCCATTGAAATATGTGGGTAAAGTTATGAAAATACCGAATATCGGAGGTAACGTCATATGAGGGATAGCGATATCGTGGACCTATATAGACAATCCTCTCTCAGGGGGTTAAGTATTCACAAGGAACTACTTGTGTGAATTTTCAGAAAATTCCATTGGAAAATGTGGTTAACATCTTTAAAATACCGAGTATCGGATGGTACCGTTATATGGGGGCTATACGATATCGTGAACCGATATAGCCCATCTTCGAGCTTGACCTGCCTGCAGACAAAAAAGAGATCTGTGCAAAATTTTAGCTTGCGGCATCAACATGTAAAAATATTGCTTTTATTTAGGTAGCGTAATCACCAATGGCGTTGTGGCATTGGTAGGCTGGTAGCTGTCGCTGAGCCACGCTACAGTCGAAACAAATTAAGGTAGGAAGCTAACATTTTGCACAAATCTGTCTTTGGTCCGCAGGCAGGTCAAGTTCGAAGATGGACTATATAGGTTCACGATATCGTATAGCCCCCAAATAACGGTACCCCTCTCGATATTCGGTATTTTTATGATTTAATCGCATTTTTCAATGGAATTGTCTGAAATTGTACACAAGGAGTTTCTAATGAGTACTTTACCCCCTGGAAGAGAATATTCTATATAGGTTTACGATATCGTATAGCCCCTATATAACGGTACCCCTCCCGATATTCCGTATTTTTATGATTTTAGTCGCATTTTTCAATGGAATTGTCTGAAATTGTACACAAGGAGTTCTTAATGAGTACTTTACCCCCTGGAAGAGAATTGTCTATATAGGTCCAGGATATCGTATAGCCCCCATATAACGGTACTCCCCTATATTCAGCATTCTGATGATTTTATTCACATTTTGTCTGAAATTGTATACAAGGAGTTCTTTATGAGTACTTTACCCCCTGGTAGAGAAATGTCAATATAGGTCCACGATGTCGTATATCCCCCATACAACGGTACCCCCCATATTTGGTATTTTTATGATTTCACCCGCAATTTTCAAAGAAATTATCTGAAAATTTACTCGAGGAGTTCCTTGTGATTACTTTATTCCCTAGAAGAGAATTGTCTGTATAACCGTACCCCCGATATTTGGCATTTTGATGATTTTAGCCACATTGTTCAGTGGAATTATATGAAATTCTACACAAGGAGTTCTTTGTCAATAATTTACCCCCTGAAAGAGAATTGTCTATATAGGCCCACAATATCGTATATCCCCTATATAACGGTACCCCCGATATTCGGTATTTAAATGATTTTAATCACACTTTTCAACGGAATTCTGAAATTGCATAAAAGGATTTCCGTGTGGCTACTTTGTTGTAATTAGATTTGTAATTATTCAAATTTTTGACGCTTTGTGGGGATGTACTTGATGGAGTGGGCCGATATTGTCCATTTTCGCACCTGACCTAAAATGACGCAAAAATTAGGATTTGCATAGTTGGAGCAAAATCGGAATATCGATTCTCTTTCTGTGCAGAAAATATATATATTTTTTTTGATATGTTCCATCTTAACACCAGACCTTGGGTTATTAAAATTATTGGGATGTGTGAAAGTTGGAGACAATCGGACTCTTACATCACATTTTATAAGAGTTGTAATTACAAAACAAAAATTTTGACCCATTGTGGGAGAGGTACTAGATGGAGTGGACCGATATTGTCCATTTTCGCACCTCACCTAGTGACGCAAATATTAGGATTTGCAAATTTGGAGCAAAATCGGATTATCCTTTCTCTTTCTGTACAATAAATTATTTTCTTTGAAAATGTTGACATTTTGTGGGGGATGTACCAGAAGGAGTGGACCGATATTGCCCATCTGGGGATAAGATGGAATATATCAGTCCACTTTTTCTGGTAACTCCCCCAATGTCGAAATTTAAAAAAAAATTCTGCACAGAAAATGAAGTAATAATCCGATTTTGCTACAACTTTGCACATCCCAATATTTGAATGGAATTGGATTTAAATTTCGGTTTTTGCGAGCTTTATGGATATTCAAAATTTTAAGCCATTGTGGGGGAATACCAGAAGGAGTGGATCGATATATCCCATCTTCACAACAGATCTTTTGTTAGTGGAAATAATGGAATGTGTGAAACATAAAGAGAACCTGATGATTATTTCGGATTTTATTTATTTTGTAAGGGATTAACCTTTACCGTTTTTATACCCTCCACCATACATGGTATGGAGGGTATATTAAGTTCGTCATTCCGTTTGTAACTAATCGAGATAATAATTTTA